TTCCCCAGACACAGTGTTCTCACGTCCCCAGACACAGTGTTCCATCTATATGTTGATGCTAATAGCCACAGATGGACCTCTGTTCCATGTGTTTATCCATAAGAACATAAGAGAAGCCAATGTTGGATCAGGCCAGTGGCCCATTCAGTCCAACACTCTGTCACACAGTGGCCAAAAATACCAGGGGCCATCAGGATGTCCATCAGTGGGGCCAGAACTCCAGAAGCCCTCCCACTGTTGCCCCCCCAAGCACCAAGAAGACAGAGCATCACTGCCCCAGACATAAGAACATAAGAGAAGCCATGTTGGATCAGGCCAATGGCCCATCCAGTCCAACACTCTGTCACACAGTGGCCAAAAATACCAGGGGCCATCAGGATGTCCATCAGTGGGGCCAGAACTCCAGAAGCCCTCCCACTGTTGCCCCCCACAAGCACCAAGAATACAGAGCATCCCTGGCCCTAGACTGAGAGTTCCGATCTATACCTTGTGGCTAATAGCCACTGATGGACCTCTGCTCCATATGTTTATCCATAAGAACATAAGGGAAGCCAATGTTGTATCAGGCCAATGGCCCATCCAGTCCAACTCTCTGTCACACAGTGGCCAAAAACACCAAGTGCCATCAGGAGGTCCAGCAGTGGGACCAGGACACTAGAAGTCCTCCCACTGTTGCCCCCCCAAGCACCAAGAATACAGAGCATCACTTGCCCCCGACAGTGTTCCATCTATGCCCTGTGGCTAATAGCCACTGATGGACCTCTGCGCCTATTCCCTGGTCCTTTTAACTGGAGATGATGAGGATGAAACCTGGGACCTTCTGCATGTCAAGCAGATGTTCTACCGCTGAGCCTTTTCCCTTCCCCATGTTCTACATATTTCTGCTTATTCTCAGAAGGGTAGGTAAGTAATACAGAGAGTTCGCAATGAGAGCAACACACACACCCCGCCCACAACCATTAAGGATTTCGCGAAGACAGACAAACATTTTAGTGGAAGTGATTTTTACACTGTTCTTTCACCTGCAGAGAAACGCCTCAGCATGCGGCAAGGAGGCCGTCTAACCGCTGCCACCACGCTTGAGGACAGGCGTCTGTCTTTGCCCGAGCTGGGTTTTTGGAACAGATGCAGCCTGAACAGATTAGCTCCCATTCGTTTCAGCTACTGTGACTGCCTGGTGGAATCGTGCCTTGTTATGTGGAAAGCCAAACTGGGAGGGGGGGGAGTGCTTTCCATTTACCTCCTGCATTTTTCAGCTGTGGGTTTGAGGTGGGGGGCTTGGGATGCTGGAGGAGGGGGCCAAAGTCCAAGCAGACCGAGGCCTCTGAGGCAGGTGGGGCATTCTCATAATAAGAACAGCTGGCCCCTGGGTTTTGGCCACTGTGTGACACAGAGTGTTGGACTGGATGGGCCACTGGCCTGATCCAACATTGGCTTCTCTTATGTTCTTTGTCTGGGGCAGTGATGCTCTGTCTTCTTGGTGCTTGGGAGGCAACAGTGGGAGGGCTTCTAGAGTTCTGGCTCCACTGGTGAACCTCCTGGTGGCCCTTGGTTTTTTTGGCCACTGTGTGACACAGAGTGTTGGACTGAATGAGCTGTTGGCCTGATCTAACATGGCTTCTCATCTCTGTAATCTTGGTGTGCTTGAGGGAGGCAACAGTGGGAGGGCTTCTGGAGTTCTGGCTCCACTGGTGGACCTCCTGATGGCCCCTGTTTTTTTGCCACTGTGTGACCCAGAGTGTTGCAGTGGGGCCAGGACACTAGAAGCCCTCCCACTGTTGCACCCCCAGCACCAAGAATACAGAGAATCCCTTGCCCCAGACTGCTCCATATGTTTATCCATAAGAACATAAGAGAAGCCAATGTTGGATCAGGCCAGTGGCCCATCCAGTCCAACACTCTGTGTCACACAGGGGCCAGAAACACCAGGTGCCATCAGGGGGTCCAGCAGTGGGGCCAGGAGGACACTAGAAGCCCTCCCACTGTTGCCTCCCCCCAGACACCAAGAAGACAGAGCATCACTTGCCCCAGACCGAGAGTTCCTATCTATACCTTGTGTCTAATGGCCACAGATGGACCTCAGCTCTTAACATAAGAACATAAGAGACGCCAATGTTGGATCAGGCCAATGGCCCATCCTGTCCAACACTCCTGTGTCACACAGTGGCCAGAAATACCAGGGGCCACCAGGTGTGGGGATGTGATGCCACACAGTCCCCCCTCCATAGCAGCCATTTCCTCCAGGACAAATGATCACTATTGCCTGGAGATCAATTGTAAAAGAAGGTGATCTCCAGACCCCACCTGGAGGGAGGTTGGCAACCCCAGCTGTTGGGTCTGATCCAGCCCCTGCTGCTTATCTCATCCTTGCCAACAGACCAAAAACCACTGTGGTAAAATTAACGACACATTTAATAATTCTATGAGCATCAATTTGTGAAGCTATTAATCTTTGTTGTTGTTCAGTCGCACAGTCGAGTCCGACTCTTTGTGACCCCATGGACAAGATCTCACCAGGCCCTCCTGTTTTCCGCCGTCCTCTGAAGTTTGCTCAACTTCATGTTTGTTGCATCGATGACACTGTCTAACCATCTCATCCTTTGCCGTCCCCGTCTTCTTTGACCTTCAATCTTTCCCAGCATCAGGGTCTTCTCCAGTGAGTGCTCCCTTCTCATTTGGTGGCCAAAGTATTTGAGCTTCAGTTTCATTATCTGGCCTTCCAGGGAACAGTCAGGGTTGATTTCTTTGAGGATTGACTGATTTGTTCTTCTTGCAGTCCAAGGGACTCTCAAGAGTCTCCTCCAGCACCATAGTTCAAAAGAATCTATTCTTCGGCGCTCGGCCTTCCTTATAGTCCAACTCTCACAGCCATACATGACTACTGGGAATACCATTGCTTTGACCATGCGGACTTTTGTTGGCAGGGTGATGTCTCTACTTTTTATCATGCTGTTTAGGTTCGCCATCGCTTTCCTCCCAAGGAGCAGGCGTCTTTTAATTTCATGGCTGCAGTCACAGTCTGCGGTGATCTGGGATCCCAGGAACGTGAAGTCTGTCACTACTTCCACGACTCCCCCTTCTATTTGCCAAGGAGTGATGGGGCCGGATGCCATGATCTTAGTTTTTCTGATGTTGAGCTTCAAGCCCAGTTTTGCGCTCTCCTCTTCTACCCTGAGCAAGAGGCTCTTTAGGTCCTCTTCTCTTTCTGCCATTAATTAATCTTACGATATGGTAAAAGAATTCAGGCGTAGGCGAAGCAAAGTCCAACATGATCATATCCTCGACGAGCACACCGGGTTTTTACACTCATTTCACCAATCTTCCTCATGCGTAAGAAGTCTTATAAAGTTGGAAGATGTCAACCTCTTGACGATGAGCACACCGGTTTTTACACTCATGTCACCAATCCCATCCTTGCAAAAGAGAGAGACGTCCCTTTCCTGTCTCCATCCAATGGCAGCTTCACAGAGTTTTCCAAGGCATATATCAGCATTACACAGGGGAGCCGGTCACTTCCCTGGCCGTACAATTAGCGAAGCCTTCCTGAAACAACTGACATGTGCTGTCACAGCGTGGAGCATCATGCGCGCTCCCAGTTTGACCTCCGTCAGACCTCCCGGACGGCATCACCAACGATGAAAGCAAAGGGGGGGGGAATAATCATAAGAAGAGTTAAAAATTGAAGCTCGGTGGCTAATCGCTCGCGGAAGACATCCAGCAGCTGTTCTTTCTGCAGGGGGAGAGCCGGATCCTCCTTCACGCATCTCGTTGAATGCCAGGAGACATGGGGGGGTGAGACACCTGGTCTGTGTCTGCATCATTAAACGACCCACTTCAGAGTCCCCCCGCTAGGCCGCCGTGCACAACTTCATCCGTGCCTGACAATTACCTGACTCCTTGCTCCGGCGTAGCAGGCCTAAGCCTCCGCTCTCCAAACGTGGCTTGTGGCAGCTGTGTGCAGACGGCCGCTGGAGCCCACGCAAGAGCTCATTATATTCCTCTCTTTTCCGCTGAGTGACAGCCCGCCTTCCTCTCCCCGGAGGCACGAACTCTCTTGCAAAGCCATCTGCCCGTCTCCTGACATTTGACAACCTTTCTCGAGCCACCGGGCCCCTTTAGAAATCTGACATGGCCGGGGGGAGGAGTGCGCGACCACGAGATGTCTGTCACAGGGGGCGGAGCCAATCGTAAAATGGCAGGGAGTGAGGCTACGCACAACTCTGACCGTCGCTCTTCAGCATTTCGGGCCAAAGTTCTGTTTAACGGGATGCTTTTTAAGGAATGAACATTTTCTTGCGTGCACACAAATGGGCCTCTTGAGCTAGCTAAGAAACACTCATTGGGCAGTATCTTGCAGATGTCCAACGGCTAATCAATAGCTCTGCTGGTACCCCTAGATGCACCGACTTTCTGAAAACACTTGGCGGGCGTCATAAGAACATAAGAGATGCCAATAACAATTCTGGTGTATAAGGCACAATAGTTCTTTAACATTTTTTTGCAAATTTCATGTATCCATGTCTGTGGTCCTCATTTCTCCTTTTTGTCTCCTCAAGGATGGGCAGGGAAAGGGGTTTTGTGGGCACCTGGAGTCGGTTTCTTGAAAGGTTTCACAGACATAGCAACATTATACTTGGTCACATAAGGTAAAGGTAAAGGTTCCCTTGCTCGTAAGCCAGTCGAATCCGACTCTAGGGTTGCGGTGCTCATCTCCGTTTCAAAGCCGAAGAGCCAGCGCTGTCCAAAGACGTTTCCATGGCCCGGCATGACTAAACACCAAGGCGCATGGAACGCTGTTACCTTCCCACCGAAGTGGTACCTATTTATCTACTTGCAGTTTCTTGCTTTCACACTGCGAGGTTGGCAGGAGCTGGAACTAGAGACGGGAGCTCACTCCATCATGTGGCCCCCGGGTCTCAAACTATTGGTCACATACTATCTAGCTAACTCCCCCCCACCCCGATCCCTGACTCAACCTGTGCTTTCTGATCCTTTCTCAGCGGAGCCAGTTGACCCCGCTTTCCTGATCAGCTGTTCTGTCTGCAACGTCATCTGCTCCATCGTCTTCGGGGACCGGTTTGACTACGAGGACGAGAAATTCCTCACTTTGGTTGGGCTGGTGAATGACAACTTCCGGTGTTTAAGTTCCTGGTGGGGGCAGGTGAGTGAGAACTGCTCTCTTAGACGGCTGTAAAAGATCAGACCTACTTGTGGAGGAGCGTCCCACCAAAGGCTAAATGGAACTTCCATGTTCAGGAGCCATGTACCTTCGAATATCTGTGGCTGGGATGGTGGCCGTAGTCTTCTGTCCTGTGCTTGTTGGTCTTCTGGGGGTCTTCTGTTTAGCCACTGTGGTGAAACAGGAAGAAGCCTATGTGGATGCTGCTGGGTCTGATCCAGACCACTGGTGTTTCTTCTTCTTCCTCGCAGATGTACAACCTGTTCTCTCATGTCATGTATTACCTGCCCGGACCCCACAACAGAATTTTCGAGAATTTCGAGAAGTTGCGCCTCTTCATCCTGGAGATGGCCAAGATGCACCAAGAGACCCTGGACCCCAGCTTCCCCCGCGATTTCATCGACTGCTTCCTTCTCAAAATGCAGCAGGTGTGGAGACGGGGCCAGGTTATGTCCAAGAGCTGAATCCTACCACCTGGTTCCTCCGTATTTCCTGACCCATTCGGGCAGGGAAGGAGACGGGTTGGAATGTGTGGCCCCCTGACCATCGATCCATCTGTTGGCAACTTTTTAGGGCTTCTCTTTTATTTAGGAGCTGCGGTGGCTCAAGTGGTTAAGATGCTGAACTGCAGGCTGTGGAAGGTCAGTAGTTCAGCAGTTCGAGACCCGGGTGCCGCATGACGGAGTGAGCTCCCATCTCTAGTTCCAGCTCCTGCCAACCTAGCAGTTCGAAAGCAAGAAATTGCAAGTAGATAAATAGGTACCACTTCGGTGGGAAGGTAACAGCGTGAGCTCCACGGCCTTGGTGTTTAGTCATGCCGGCCACATGACCACGGAAACGTCTTAAAAATAACAGTTTACACATAAAATTGTAAAATACCGTGTAACTATAAAAGTTGTCGGATGACTAGTCAGAATCAGGCCACTGGTGGACAATTGGCTGGAAAAAGCTAGGCAGACAAAGTTAGGGCCAGAGAAGATGGAGGGGGGGAGAGGGGGACATCCCCTTTCTCGACCAAATGCCCGACGGAAGAGCTCCGTCTTGCAGGCCCTGTGGAACTGCAATAAGTTCCGCAGGGCCCTGATCTCACAGGGGAACTTCTTCTTTGCTTTCCTCCTTTTTACTATTTTATGTCATTTATTAGCACAGCCACCCACACAGCAAATAGGCTTAATAGAAAAAGGAAAACATTGCCAGCTAACGGAAGACATCACTTATGCCAAACACGACAGACACCAGCTCATCACCACCTGTACTTGGCTTGCCTGGATTATCACCCATTGGTTGAGAGGCCGATGCACAGCATCTGGGGCCAGTGGAAAGGCTGAAACATCTGGCCTCCCAAGCAAAATTCCCAGTGATAGTAAAGGTTGGATGTGCTCCCATGAATACCCTCTTGTACAGCTAATCCACTGGACAAAGGAATGCACAGGGCTCTAACAAGTCATGCATCAGAGGGGAATTCAAACACAAGTAAGAGCGGTGGCTCAAGGGGTTAAGACGCTGAACTGCAGGCTGTGGAAGGTTGGTAGTTCAGCAGTTCGAGACCCCAGTGTGCCGCATGATGGAGTGAGCTCCCTTCTCTAGTTCCAGCTCCTGCCAATCTAGCCGTTCGAAAGCAAGAAATTGCAAGTAGATAAATAGGTACCACTTCGGTGGGAAGGTAACAGCGTTCCGTGCGCCTTGGTGTTTAGTCATGCCGGCCACATGACCATGGAAATGTCTTTGGACAGAGCTGGCTCTTCGGCTTTGAAATGGAGATGAGCACCGCAACCCTAGAGTCGGACTCGACTGGCTTTCGAGCAAGGGAACCTTTACCTTTAAGAGCTACCTGGATTCTGATGGCCCACATGGCTGGGTAAGCTTTTTTCCTATGTCAAAAGAGAATAACCGTGATAACCTGACTAATTAACAATTCTTTTTATATAAACCGTGCACTACATATAAAGTTGTGAAAAATTGTATTAGAACTTTAATAGTCTTGTCAAGAAGAAGAAGAAGAAGAGGAGGAGGAGGAGGAAGAGATTGGATTTATACCCTGCCTTTCACTTGGAGCCTCAGAGTGGCTTACAATCTCCTTCCCCTCCTCACAACAGACACCCTGTGAGCAATGCTCCCCCTAAGCCGTGGAGTCTTGTGAGCAAAAATTCCACTTCGTGAGCTACTGACATTAAAATTGTGAGCGGCTACTGCATAAATTAGTTTGCTCTGGAGCCATCCTTCCTGAGCTAAGACAAAAATCTGTGAGCTGAAGGCTAAAAAACTGTGAGCTAGCTCACATTAACTCAGCTTAGAGGGACCACTGCCTGTGAGGTAGGCGGCGCTGAGAGAGCTCTTTCGAGGACTGCTCATGAGAGAACAGCTCTGACAGAACTATGGCTTGCCCAAGGTCATCCAGCAGCTGTGAGTGGAGGAGTGGGGAATGAAACCCGGTTCTCCCAGATTAGAGTCCGCGCTCCTAACCACTACACCAAACTGACTTTCACCACTACACCAAACTTTCTCTAGAAAATTACAAACTTGTTTCTTCTTATCTACAGTTCAAAACCTTTAAAAGATTCCATAACAGGGATTTCAGTGTAGGGAGTTTATCAAAACAGGAAGAGTCTTCTTAGAGAGGAAAACGGTTCACACCTCATTAGCGCATCCTAATGAAAGGAACACCTGAGTCCTGCTCACACAGAAGCCAGCGTGAAGACTTTGTGTGTTTCAGGAATTTTGAAGCAGGAAAAAAAGCATGTGCCAAAGATTTTTTCAAGGATTTTTCAAAGTAGGATACAAGGCCATAGTTTGCAAATGAATAGCAGCAATTTAAACATGGAGACTGCTCGGACACCTCACCTTTCCCCGGAGGCTGGTCAGGGGCTGTGTAAATATGCAAACGATTCCCTCTCTTTCTGCCCCCCCCCCGCAGGAAAAGGAGGACCCCCTCACCTACTTCCACATGAACACTCTTCTGATGACCACCCACAATGTCTTCTTTGGGGCCACGGAGACAACAAGCACCACTCTCCGCTTTGGCATCCTCATCCTCCTGAAGTACCCCAACATGCAGGGTGAGTTGGGAGACTTATTCACACACCTGAGCACACGAGGCCTCCCCTTTGCCGAGTTGGTTCCCGTCAGTCCCTCTGGCGTACCACCACCCCTCAGCTTGCCAAGATCTCATGCAGAGAAAGGTCTTTCTCAGCGCCAGGGGTCATTTCCTGCAGGAGCGCACAGGAGCGGAGCTCCGGCAGTAAAGAGCCCAGGGGGCGGGAACATGCAACAAGCCCCACCCCCTGCTCCCAACAGCCCTCAGTCAGAGCAAGAAGCAGCCAGGTAAGTTGCAGAGCCCAGCCCCCCGGTCCAAAATAGTCCAGTGGCACCTTTAAGACCAAGTTTTATTCAGGTACAAGCTCTCCCTCCTCTGCGAGGACAGATCTGCACGTTCCCCCCCCCCACTAGCTAGCAATCCAAAACAGTCCAGTGGAGCCTGAGCGGTGGGTGTGGCCTTCCGGCACACTTCCGGTGATGTCAGGGGGTGTGGCATATGCAAATAAGTTATGCTAATGAGTTATGCTAATGAGCTCATGAACCTCTTTTTCTACTAAATGACCCCTGCTCAGCGCAATTCCACGGTTGCGTTCAGACTGGCAGTTTGGCCCGATATAGGCCCATTTCACAAATGGATTAAATGGGCCCGGTCACGCAGCCACATCTGTCAGGCGTTCCGTGGGCGTACGCACCCCGTCAGAGGATGACTTGGAGCCGGGTTAAAAAGCCACCACCTCCAAAGTGGTGTTTTTGTTTCTCCGTGCATTCATCGAGCATGGCCGGATGTCTGAACACGGGGGAGTGCACGCAGAACATATTTGGCTGTCTGAACCTGCAGATCTGTGCTGCCCCTAGGGAGGCATCTTAAAAAAAACCTGCCTATATGCACATGCGTGCGCATGCACACATATGTGCAGGCATGTGCTCCTATGTGTGCACATGAATTTTGGAAAAAATTTTGGCAGCGCGGTCCGTGGCTGAAGTGCTGCAATAATGTGGATGCTTTACCATGGGATGTCTCTATGGGTAACCCATAGCAGGGTGTGCTGTGTGGTTGATATGCGCCACAACACTTTAAACCAGTTCAGTTAGAGGCGTTGCCATATCGCGCCAAGCCGCCAGTGTGGACACGGCCCATGAGATGTTTCGCACCACTAGATGTTCTGGGGGGCCCCATAACCATTGGTATGACGTCACACTGAGTTTATGCATCATGGGAAGAAGTGGCTTCCCATCCATTCCGCATCTATAGCCTGCCGCTTTCACTGAGCGTCCCCAACCTCCAAGTATTATGAGAAAGTAGAAGAAGGTCTGGTAAACTATGATTCCCGGCAAGGGCTAGTCTTACAATATTCCCAATTGCTCGGTCCAATGCAAGCATACATATGGCCCCATGTAAGTGTGGTGTGTGCTGCAGCATGGGCTTGGTAGTCTTTAGCACTGCCTAAACCAGGCCATGGTATGATTGAGACCAAGGGTAATTTCGTAGAAAAAGAGGTCCAGATATTTTACATCAAACACAACTTTTCTTTTGACCTCTCCAAGAAAACAGTAGTGGCTTCTTAGGGTATTGTCAGATCCCCAGTTAAGACACTTTCCACACTTTTGGCAGTGATGCTTTATTAGAGATATGATGACTACAGGAACTGGACCTTTGTCAGGACTGAAGAAAGCACGCGGAATTCAGAGGTTATAGGTAAAACCCAATGCACCCCACGCCTCATGCATATATCAGCATTCGGCCTCTAGTGTTACTATGGCTGCGGTCACATTTTTTTTTCTTTTTGTGGGTTTTGTTGCATGTGCCCGCCCCCTGGGCTCTTTACTGCCGGAGCTCCGCTCCTGTGCGCTCCGGCAGGAAATGACCCCTGATTGAGACTCATTTTGCTCACAGGTGAAAGTACCACGGAATCAGAGAGGAGGTGAGGCAAGAGGATGGATCTTGTAGTATTGCATCATACTCTTTCTTGTCATCAGGAATCATATGCAGCTCTATTGAGAATTCGGAAGATTTCTGAAAGGCCACCAGAATTTTCTAATCTGTGGCTTTTACTCCCTTCTCCGGGTCGCAGCCAGGACTCCTGCTGCCTTCAACTTTTCCTAGCATGATAGTCTCTTCCAGTCAGTTTTGTCTTCTCAGAATGTGACCAAATACAACTGCCTCCATTTAGTCATTTGAGAGTCATTTTAGATTCTAGGGAGAGGTCAGGCTTGATTTGACTCAGAAACCACTGATTTGTCATTTGGGGAGTCCATGGGATCCGTAAAACTCTACTGCAACACCACATTTCAAAGGGATCTTCCTATCAGCTTTCTTCATTGTCAAACATTTGCATCCCTACATAGTAAATGGGGAATACGGTGGAATGTATTGTCTTGACCGGGGGTGTCAAACATGCGGCCCGTGGGCCGGATCAGGCCCCCAGAGGGCTTCTATCAGGCCCGCAGTGGAACTGGCTGTCTTCTGCTGCCTCTTCCAGTTCTGCTGCTGCTGCTGCTGCATCATCGTAGGTTTGCAGCTTACAGACACACACCTGAACAGAAGACTCAAGATTGCAACAGCACAGACATTTTGGTGCAATAATTCAGAGCAAGAGGTGTCAGTTGTCAGACACAAATAAACAAAATATTGCAAGAGTGCTAATGTTTTAAGCATGGTTTTATTTTAAGTAAAAAAAAACCCAACCCTTTGTGTTTGTGTCCTTTATAAAGTTTATATCTCTGCTACCTGGCATTACATTTTATGACATACGTGGCCCGGCACAACGAGGTCTCATTTATGTCAGATCTGGCCCTCATAACAAATGAGTTCGACACCCCTGATCTTGATGGGCAGCGACAGGTCTTTAACCTTCGGAATCCTTTCTACCTCCTTCATGGCTATTCTCCTTCTCATTTCTTGCTCGCAGTCTCAAAAAACAGTGGGGGGACATTTTAACCTTCCAGGACATTCAGTCGCTGACCTAAGAGCAGCAGTTCACTTTGGAAGGAATTTCAAAGGGAGATTAGAAAGAGAGACTGCTGAATTGCAACTGATAACGAAGCTCACGACAACGCATCCATCCTGGACTAAATCTCAAGACGATGCATCCATCCTGGACTCAATCGAAACATGAGCAGGGAGCTGATCATTCATTCAGAAAGCTGCGGAGGGGCATTTGAGTGGATTTAGATGCCTCCGACTGGCCCATTGTACTCTTTTCTCATATGAATATGGTGTCTCCTCAAAGCCCCCGGCCCACCTGTCTGCCTCCAGTTTTTCAAAAGGCACCTTTGGGGCTCTGTCTCCCTCATTGCCCTCCCTGATCAGCGGAGGCAGAATAAATTATGTAAAACACATGCAAACGTCGAATGCTTCTTACGCCGTCAGACTCGGTTTCTTCTCGCGCTGTCAGACTTCAATGCGCAGAGCGCGGCTTGCCAACTGTGTAAACAAAAATATGCTTTTGATCTGCACGGGGGACTTCTCGAAAGGAGACAGAGCGCTCCCTGCATCGGCTGCTGATCGAATTAGCCTTTGGATCAAACACAATTACTCTTCACTTGTCTTCCTTTCACAGACATATCCGATTGGGTTACATCCTCGGTAATTACCCATTTCCTCGTGGAGAGAGAGAGAGAGCCTTCTACCCGGGGTGTCCACTCGTAGCAATCATGCTCTCCCCCCTTCGTGGCCTAATCGTTTCGGTTCTCTGCACTCTACTATCATTAACTTAGCATAAAACAAAAGCATGTTATTTGCCAGTATTTCATCTGCTTCAGTACAATTCCAGGGAGATGTACGGAGCATGGGATGTACGGAGCAGGGTGTGGAAGAGGGGCCGTGGCTCAATGCCAGTTTGGTGTCGTGGTTAAGTGCACGGACTCTAAACTGGGAGAACCGGGATTGATTCCCCACTCCTCCACTTGCAGCCCGTTTTGAGGGGCTCCCTTTCCGCTGTACTGCAAGGTAAATTCAATGCATGAGCATATATGCCCGTGCATGGCTAATATGGTGGAATCAGTTACTCATGTCCTCCGGTTCTGCAGATTCTATCAGGAGGAACGAAACCGTCTTATACTACCCCTTCTGTCTAGATTTAGCCCTCTGCAGTCTTATCTTGACTTTAGGCCAGAAGTCCTCTGTAAATTCCTCCTCGAAGACTGTTGTGCACTGGGCCCGACATCAACGGACCTATCTTGGATAAACAGAACCAGGGGTCGTTTCGTAGAAAAAGAGCTAGGGGAACTCATTAGCATGACTCATTAGCATATGCCACACCCCCTGACATCACCGTAAGTGTGTCATAAGGCCACACCCCCTGACATCACCGGAAGTGTGTCTTGCAGCTGGCGAGGCTCAGGCGCACCTCTCTTGCCGCCGCAACACCCCCTCCAGGCGCTCGGTGGCGCTGTGCCCCTGCCTGCCCCGTAGGCAGCGCCCATGGCGGGTGGGCACAGAGACCCCCGGGCGGCGCGGCACTGGAGGGGCTCCACGGGGGGAGGAGGCGCGCTGCCGGCTCGGCTTCTCGTGTGGCTGTGCTGCGCAGCGCACTGCGATCAAGCGCCGCTGCAGGTTCACCTTCACGCGGAGTGTGAGGCCGGTGCGCTGAGCTCGCCGTTCGTGGCTTCCCGAGGAGGGAGGCACTGTGCTGCGGAGTGCGATGTTCAAATGCAGAGTGGGGTTTTTTTTCCCCTTAACCCTTCCCCCAAGCAAAAAACCGTGTAATTTGAACTTTGTCCCTTTGGGTGAATCAGGGCGATCTTTACACGTGAAGCCTCCTGGATCCCCTCTCGCCTGCAGGCAGGGGCTAATCCGAGCCTCTCCGTTTCAACTGGAAAATCCTCCGAGTGGAGGAACGGAGGATGCCGCCCGCTCTTCTGGCGCCTCGGTGGGGCGGTGGGCAAACCTGCAAGGTCGGCGGGAGTGTGAGGAAGCCCTGCGAAGGCCCCCCACCCCCAATGGTCCCGGCCGCCGGTGGCGTCCTTGCGGCTCCACTGCCGAGCCCCATCAGGGGCCCGACGGTGGACCTGCAAGGCCAGCAGGAGTGCGAGGAAGCCCCGCGAAGGCCCTCCCTGGCCCCAGGCAGGCAGGGGTGGGGAGGAAGCAACTTACCCTCCCTCTTCTCCTGCCTCCTCCTGGCTGAATGAGGGCCGGAAGCGGGGCGGCCGGAAGCAGGGGGTGGGGCTTCGTCGTGTGCCCCGCCCCCCTGCACCTCACCCAGGGGAACGGCGATCCCCCGAATCGACCTCTGAACAGAACAATAGACTGTTAAGATCCTGGGAGGAACCTATTGACCAGGAGCACCTCTGTAAATAACCTATCATGGGTGGTGTGTGGGTGTGGGTGTGGTGTTGGTCACAGATTTAAGCAGGGCTTCAGTCCTGCTAGGGCTGTCTTTAGTTTGAGCTGAAATCACAATAAAGCATGAGCTGATCACAATTGCGTGTCAAACCCAGTATATTTCAGACGTTCAGAGCTCAGTGACTTACGCTGCAGCAAAACTTTGTTGCTTAGCTATTAGGAAATGTAAACTTATTTTAGCTGGAAAAAATGGTATGATTCTCTTATTAATATTATTTTATTTTACTAATTGTATTAATTTTCCCTTGTTAATGTTTTTATACTATTCCTATGCTATTACTGTTTTAATCTTTCTTATATCAGAATTGGACTGTTTGACTGGCTCTTGCTGTAATAAATTAGATCAATGCAATGCAGCTGCTGGTGTGACCTTGGGTCAGTCACAAGTTCTCTCAGAGCTGTTCTCTCATGAGCAGTTCTCGAAAGAGCTCTCTCAGCCCCACCTACCTCACAGGGTGTCTGTTGTGGGGAGAGGAAGGGAAAGACGCTCTGAGACTCCTTTGGGTAGTGAAGGGTGGGTTATGAATGCAATCTCTTCTTCTTCTTCTTCAGTGGTAGAGTATCTGCTTCGCTTGGCATGCAGAAGGTCCCAGGTTCAATTCCCGCCATCTTCCAGCTAAAAGTATCCAGTAGGAGATGATGTGAAAGACTTCTCCCTGGGACCCCGGAGAACCACTGCCAGTCGGTGTAGACAACACTGACTTTAATGGACCAATGGTTTTATTCAGTATAAGACAGCTTCCTGTATGTGGAATTCACTGCCGCAGGAAATGGTGACAGCTACAAGCACAGACCGCTTCAAGAGGGGATTGGAGAAATGTATAGAGCAGGGGTCCATCAGTGGCTGTTAGCCACAAGGTATAGATAAGAACTCTCAGTCTGGAGCAGTGATGCTCTGTATCCTTGGTGCTTGGGGGGCAAGAGTGGGAGGGCTTCTGGAGTTCTGGCCCCGCTGGTGGACCTCCTGATGGCCCCTGGGTTTTGGCCACTGTGTTGGACTTGAGTCAGCTGGTTTGGGGAGGCGCCCTCTGAGCTCAGTGGGGGGTTGCTCTTGCTCACGGGAGAGAATATAAGAAGACCCTTGCTGGATCAGACCAGTGAGGGCCCATCTGGTCCAGCCTCCCGTCTCACACAGTGGCCAACCAGTTCCTCTGGCCAACAACAGGGCAGAGAGGCTGAGGCCTTCCCCTGATAAGGAGATCTTATTGGCTGTGTGGATTTTTTAAAATGTGGCTTTGGTGGCAGCTGCTGCCACAGTGCGAGGATCTTCACCGCATGAGAGAAAGTAAGCTGTGTGTATGGCAAGAAAAAAATTCTTAAACAATGCAATCGTTTTAAAAGCCATCCAGGCTGCGGTCACACGGAGCATTAGCCACGCCACAGAGACGGAAGATAGACGGATTTTCCAGGCGCGATCACACCGACACATCTGGGACGCGTAGAGCTCCCGTGGCTAACCCGAGGCTTCCCGCCGAAGATGCAGCGTAAAAAAACTAGTACCTCCGAGGTACTAGTTTCTGGAAACCGTGGGTCAACGGCGGGCGTCTGATCGCGTTTCCGGTGGTAGTTCGTGGCATCTGGTGCCCGCCCATGTCCCGTCGCAAAAACGGGGTTTTTTTCCAAGTCTCCACGGGATGTGCATAAGCACCCAACGGCGCATGCACACACTTCGGTTTTTTAAAAAACACAACCCCGTTTGCCACAGCAATGGCGCCTAGCCATTGCCACTGTCGCACCGCACCGCTTCTTTGCCACGCCGCAGGATTGTTGTGTGATTGGCACCTCCCCCCGAACCACGGGACGTCGGCGGAGGCGAAGCCATGATTGTAAACCACATCCGCCCACTTCTACCCTCTGCATGGAGCCTCCCCTAATTATCTTGCTCAATCATGTCGCTTTCATTGCGTCGAGAAGGTCAAATCTTCATTCAGGGGTTCCTGATGAGCAAAATTAACCACCCGGGGATCACTCCTGAAAACTCCCATTTTGTTTATACCATTCGACTCTCCGACGCGGAGATTTTCCATCAGAGAATTTTTTTTATACATTTCCACATGAGGTCTGTTTCCTTAATTATTGTTATTATTATCATTATTAAGAGCAACGATAAGTAATTACACACTTTCAGCATTGAGTAAAGTGGCGCTTCAAGGATGCTGCTAAATTGCCGTCCTGACAGGGCGTTAATGGTCTTTCGCAATCCGGTGAGCCGGCGTGGAAAGCCGAAGAGTGCTGATTCCAGCGGGAGGCTGATCGGCCCCCTTTTCGAGCTCCTGCCAGGAGAGCAGCACCACAAATGGCCCAAGTGGGGAACCTTTTGTGCCATTTGCCAACAGGAGATCTCGAAAACACCTGAAAAGTACTGGGTTCGCCGCATGGAGGACTCAGACGACGACATGCGTTGGCACACGTTTATTGTACTTAACATCAGACTACTAAAACGGCCCTGCAAGGCCAACTATATACACACCCACCCAGGCACACCCCTAGTCCATTGGAGGGTTTGAATTTCCCGCCAAAGTGGCTATTGGTTGGGGCTGGGGGGAACGAGGATCCTATGTGCCTATTGTTCAAGGGAGCCGAGCTCCTGCCTGTGCCGCGGACCCCTAGTGGCGGTCCGCATACATACACCTTTTCTTTGCTCGCAAAGTGGACCGCAGAGGAGCGAGTAGGGTGGCCAGTGCCCGGGTTAAGAAATACCTGGAGATTTGAGGGGTGGAGCCTGGGGAGGGTGGGGTTTGGTGAGGGGTGGGGCCTCAGCAGGGTGTAATGCCAGAGAGTCCACCCTCCAAAGCAGCCATTTTCTCCAAGGGAACTGATCTTGGCTTGGCTGGAGATCCATTGTAATAGGGGGAGAGCCAGTTTGGTGTCGTGGTGAAGTGCGCGGACTCTAATCTGGGAGAACCGGGTTTGATTCCCCGCTCCTCCACTTGCAGCTGCTGGATGACCTCAGGCAAGCCGTAGTTCTGATAAGAGCTGTCCTTGAAAAAGAGCAGTTTCTCTCAGAGCTCTCTCAGCCCCACCTACCTCACAGGGTGTCTGTTGTGGGGAGGGGAAGGGAAAGGAGTTTGTAAGCCGCTCTGAGACTCTTTTGGGTAGTGAAGGGCGGGGTATACATCCAATCTCTTCTGCTTCTTCTTCTTCTTCTTCTTCTTCTTGGATGGGAGACCCCCAAGGCTGTCCAATCAATGGCAAACTGCCTCTGTCCACCTCTTGCCTTGAAAGGCCCTTGAGGGGTCACCGTAAGTCGCTTGCCACTTCACAGCACTTTCCACCACCAAGTTAGGGGCTAGCATTCGATCCCGCAGCAGAGAATCCATAGGGAATATCCAGTTTGGCACAGTGGCTAAGAGCGGTGGACTCTAATCTGGGAGAGCCAGCTGGGTGGCCTTGGGTCAGTCACATGTTCTCTCAGAGCTCTCACGAGCAGTTCTCAAGAGAACTCTCTCAGCCCCACCTACCTCACAAGGTGTCTGTTGTGAGGAGAGGAAGAGAAGGAGTTTGTAAACTGCTATGAGACTCTGAGTGAAGGGTGGGGTATAGATCCAATCTCTCCCTCCTCCTCCTCCTTCCCCCCTCCTCCTCCTCTTCTTCTGAGAATCATAGAATCACAGAGTTGTAAGGGACCTCCAGGGTCATCTAGTCCAACCCCCTGCATATTGCAAGACATTCACAAATACCTCTCCCTCCACACCCCCAATGACCACTGTTCCACACCCAGAAGATCACAAAAAACCCTCCAGTATCTCCAGCCAAAAGCACCCGGAGAAAAATTGTTTCCTGACCCCAAAGTGGTAATCTTCTCCTCCTCCTCCTCCTCCTCCTCCTCCTCCTCTTCCTCCT